CCCCAAAACCCCAAAACCCCAAAACCCCAAAACCCCAAAACCCCTCTTTCTCAACCCTCTGTTGAACAACAATAGTTAAAATAAGACTAAGCTTTAGTGAAAGAGTACTTACTGGAGATGCTACTCCACTTATTTTTCTGAATCTGGAGATGTACCTTCCTCGCATCGACCAGCTTACTAATATACGCCTGTGCCTTCCTCTCTATCATCCCCACACTAGCCTCAATCTCAGTTTCCAAATTCTTATCAATCCTCTCCAACTGCTTCTTTATCTGCTCTTTCTTCTTATTCTTCAATTCCTTTTCCCTTGTTTTCTCCTCCCCGCCTAGGTTACTGTATGAAAATTGTGTAAGAACAGAAATCTCTTCGCTTAAGGTCTGGATGCTGAGCTTGTACCTGCTACGTCTTTCGATAGCATCGATCATGGAGGTGAGGATGGAGATGCCTTCTTCGATGGAGATTATTACTCTGTTGATATCGTTCTTGTTCTCTTGATTCATGTTTGTGATGGATTGATTCATATTATCGGGATTATTGGATTCAGCTATTGATGGGTTAGAGCTTTCCTTCTTCTCTTCTTCGTTGTTATGGTCTTGGAATTTAGAGTCTGACTGTATGTCTTTGATTCCATCTAATTCAGTGATGCTTGTTTTTAGTTGTCCCATTGCTTCTCCAATGTTTCTAGTATTTTCGTATTCATCATTCAGCAATTTTTGCATCGAGACTGAGTTCTGGTAAAGTTTTTCTACGAAATCAAGTAAGTTCTGAGATTTCTGAAGATAACTCTGATACTTATAATCTATTTCGTCTGTTGCCCTTGGCTCAGTGCTTGCTGATGATCCAGTTACTGTCGATTTTATAGTATCCCACCAACTATACACATATTTTGTGACAGTTAAGGTATTCTCTTCCAAAGTAGCGATGTCTGTACAAGTTGTGTCGATAGAGTAGTTTGTCTCTGTCAGGAATTTGTGCAGCTCACTGGAGTACTTTAATTCAGGGTGGTCTTTGATGGTATTTAAAAATCTTTCAAATCCTCTCATTCTTTTCTTAGTTTCTTCACTGTCATCACTTGTGACTTTCTCAGTGTAGGATTTTTCAGGAACTATATTGGTATGATACAGAATGGGTATTGAGTGACGAGTTTGTTCCTGAAAGCCACGAAGTTAGAGTATCTTCTGATAACCTTTTGATTATCTTTTCCTATCTCAGACAAGACTTCAAAACTTCTATAACCAGTCAGAGCATCTCCAATCCATTGGGGATTTTCAATGGAGATATTTGATTTAGGGATCTTCTTTTCATCTACGTGTTTGTCTTCTTCAATGCCAGACATTGTTTTAGGCTAAAACTAAAAACTTATAACTATAATAATTAGGCTAAATTTCAGTTTCTTTAATATTTTATGGGGTTTTGGGGTTTTGGGGTTTTGGGGTTTTGGGG